TGGAACTCGCACGCTGAAAGTTGGAAGACGACCGACTAATTTGTACGACAAAAAAAAAACTTGCGAGTGTACTCGGCTGTCTGTTTATACAGTACGAGTTTCATGCAAGTACCAGCCGAGCAGGCATCCTAGTCGACTCGGCCGAGCACACTAGCACCGTGTCAACGCACCATCAAGGTACAGATGTATTTTGTAATTGCACAAGGAATTTTGACACAATAATTTGATTTTATGTAAACAAGTTGATGTGGTAGTTATTCATTTGTAAATAACTTTTTAGACTCTGAAAGAGCACTTGAAGATGAATCTGTTAAATCAAGAATTACTTTTTTATTGATTCGTAATGCTCCGCATAAAATAAAGCTGCATCAAGCCATGTGCCTCACCGGGTTATTATTGGTTTTGGCGGTAGCGGGATATCTGGAAGATTTTCTTTATAAAATTGGATTCTTAATGGAGATTTAAGAAAAACTTTTTTAATGTTACTTATCAAATTATTACCGATTGGAAACTGAGATCTAATAAATTTTGCAACTCTATTAATACCGTGAGCTATACACGTTACATGAATAAGGTGCTCAAAAAATTTTTAAATTTTGTGGCACTTTAATCATATAAGGGGCAGTTTCCGACAATAAAAGTATAAATTTACTAGAAGGGCCAAGATCTGGTAAAAAAAGTTAGTGAATCATGTACAAATGTAGTCACAATTAAATTGTTTGTTTTTCAAGGTGCTTGGATGATATGAGGTGTGCTTTTCCTGGTTCATCTCCATGTCGAACACCAATTAATAAATGTGCAATACATCTTCCACGAGAATCGGTGGTTTCTTCAATTACAATACAAAAGTTTTTTATAGGCACCATTGTGTCTTTATATATAAAATCGACATACTTTTTTCTTAGTGTAGATTCAACTGGTATATTGAACTGTCTTTAAATTTACATTATCTAATTTTTGGTTGTTTTTCTGCGAACTTTGTTGAACACAATTTTTTAAAGTTTTCTGTAGTCTTGTACATTTTTGCAATATTCGCAATGCTGCAATGTGTTTTGATGTTTTTACATGTTGATTCACGATGAACTTTTTGTAGGCGTGAATCTTAAACAACAGAGAAACGCAAGTTAAATGGATTGCTTGTTAGGACATGCCATGAGGAATTTATATGTAGCAATTTTTAAACCAGAAATATTTAGGCATTACAAATTAAATGGAAATTAATTTAGTATGAAGGTAGGTAAAGAGTATATGTATAATATGTACTTAAAATTTTTGAGCACGCTGTGCAAAATACATTGCCGCCGTCCCATAAAAGCTCTGGATGCACCTTCATTCACAATTGTTTAAATTTAAATTTTGGCATTTTCTCGATAAATGTATTCGTTACACTGATAAAATAATACAGAACAACCCAAGGCCGAACAAGACACGAAATGAACTTCAGCTTTTCAACATCTTAAAATCTAAATTCTTGTATACCTACTTATTCCCCCTACACAGAGCTTACAAATTTTTCCAATGAAATTGTCAAATCATCCGTAATGTTATCCAACGAACCAGGTTAGATTAATTTCTAACTATAGGTATTAAAAATAAATTACCTCATTTAAATATTTTTAAAAACACCCGCTGAGTTTACGACTGATACTTTACTTGAAAGTGAAACATTTGGGATTGAAAATAGAAAATTAATGCAACATTTCTGAATTTATCAAAAAAAAAGCCAAATGTGTGGAAAATTTACCATTTCTTAATTAATATGTGGAAAAAAATGTAAAAATGCAAAAAATGCAAACTGCATTTTTCCGGTCCTTGAACGTAACAAACGGATACCTAAAAATAACACAAAAGTACAATATGAGTGTGATCAATCGGAAAGTTATTGAGAGAGCTAGGAATTAAGAAAAGGGGGTAAAATTAGGAACAAAATTTTCTAACGAACCTCGTATACGATTCAAAAAATTTGATTGTATTTTGGGTTTTAGATCATGCAAACATTTTTATGAAGAATAACTTTTTCCTAAAATTAATAATAAAAAAGTGTTCCATATGATTTCAACTTAAATAGACACACAGTATATAAACTCATTTTGTTTGATAATTAGTCTCAAAGGAATTTTTTGGAATGCGACAAAGGCGCAATATTTCTCAACCACAAACTCCACTTTATTTTAAGTTTATTATTTTGTCAGATTTTATTTAATTAGAAAAGTTTTCTCAAAGTTGCCTCCAATAATATTTATGTGGGCCTAAAGATGGTTTTAAAAGGCCCGACTCACATTTCTAAGCAGTTCCTGAGTAACACTTGAAATACTTCTCTCATAAGAACTAATGGTCATTTTAAAAAACTGGTGAGTCTTTTTAAAAAATTTATATTACAACACCAACGACATTAGTTTTTAATAACGAGCTGTCAGTGTTGGGGTTTTTCAAAGCGAAATCAAAAATTCTCTTATAATAAACTTAGAATAAATTTGATATTAATAATTATTGTTATAATGAAGTTAGTCTGTGGTTGGTTGCTATTGGTATTTACCTTTTACTGAATTTAAAAGTCAGTTGATAAATTTCAGCTGGTTAAATTCTAAACTACATATTAAACCAGTGATCAGTTAAAATAAGTATTATAAGTATATAACATATAACATATAACATATAACATATAACATATAACATATAACATATAACATATAACATATAACATATAATATATAATATATAACATGTAACATATAACATATAACATATAACATATAACATATAACATATAACATATAACATATAACATATAACATATAACATATAACATATAACATATAACATATAACATATAACATATAACATATAACATATAACATATAACATATAACATATAACATATAACATATAACATATAACATATAACATATAACATATAACATATAACATATAACATATAACATATAACATATAACATATAACATATAACATATAACATATAACATATAACATATAACATATAACATATAACATATAACATATAACATATAACATATAACATATAACATATAACATATAACATATAACATATAACATATAACATATAACATATAACATATAACATATAACATATAACATATAACATATAACATATAACATATAACATATAACATATAACATATAACATATAACATATAACATATAACATATAACATATAACATATAACATATAACATATAACATATAAAATATAACATATAACATATAACATATAACATATAACATATAACATATAACATATAACATATAACATATAACATATAACATATAACATATAACATATAACATATAACATATAACATATAACATATAACATATAACATATAACATATAACATATAACATATAACATATAACATATAACATATAACATATAACATATAACATATAACATATAACATATAACATATAACATATAACATATAACATATAACATATAACATATAACATATAACATATAACATATAACATATAACATATAACATATAACATATAACATATAACACATAACATATAACATATAACATATAACATATAACATATATAACATATAACATATAACATATAACATATAACATATAACATATAACATATAACATATAACATATAACATATAACATATAACATATAACATATAACATATAACATATAACATATAACATATAACATATAACATATAACATATAACATATAACATATAACATATAACATATAACATATAACATATAACATATAACATATAACATATAACATATAACATATAACATATACACATAACATATAACATATAACATATAACATATAACATATAACATATAACATATAACATATAACATATAACATATAACATATAACATATAACATATATCTTTCTTCATACAACCTTCTTGCATCATAAGCATTGCAAGATGCAAGACCGTACATAGGATACATATCTGCATACTCACTAAATGTGTATCCTATTATCAAATTAAACTTACTAAGATATTCAAAATTCAATAAATATGGGAGTACTAAAAGACCAACGTGTCAATAAGATTTAAAATGCACACGTCAATGCAATTATACATTTATTTATTTCGTAGGTAGGTACCATAGTAACGTTTGTAAAAACAGTGCGTTTTTTAATACTGATAACAGTTTTATTTCAATGACTTTCGTATCACACTTTGCTGCAGACAAAAAAAATTGTAAATCATGGTTTCTTTTTAATAAAAATAAAACATTCATTCTTTTAATATTTTTTTTTTCGAAAACGGTTCATTTTATCGACAATGAAGAAGAGTACCTTTTCTTTAGCTTAAAGCTCAAGGTATCGAAATTTATTATTTTTAATTCCTTATCATACAGGGCGTTAAAAATGTAAGCATTAAAATGTACAACCTAGTCCGCCCCTGGTAAACTAAACATGCTAATTATGTTTTAAGGGCAGTATTTTAAGAGGTTCTTACTACTGTTTATCATAATAAATTTTCATTAAATTATATTACGTAGTTTGAAAGTTTTTCAAGAAAACTTGGCGTCCTTTTGGAGGCCGTATCTCCGTAGGGAGGGCGGCTAGAAAAAAAATTATGAAAACTTATCATCTTATTTTTTAATGTTCTATCTGAATCCGAGAGACCTTCCACATTATCCAGGATACCCTGTAGACTCGATATGGTTTAGATTGAATTTGTTTAGTTCGCATGTTCGAGTTAACGGATGGTATCGGTCCGCGTCGCAAAGAATAATGGAATTTCTAAGGCCCTAATTCTGCTTTCTCTCTCTTATTCTCATTTTATATGAATAGTCTTCTTTTTGTTGCTCTTTATAGTTTTGTCCTATATCCAAGAAAAGTTTAAGCCGAATTTGTATTTTAAAATATAGCTCTTTACGAACTTACGTATGTTATACATTGTTGTTTCGAAACTTAATTGTCAATCCTGAATCGTAATAGTTGGTTTAAGATTTAATTTTTTTCAGAAATGATACGGCAACAGCGTTTACATTGGATATGCATCCAAACCTTGGAGATCCAGTAGAACAATTTGGTATTGAATTAGAATCAGCCGAGGAAGATGATGACGTTACTGAATTTAAAAAAAGGTTTCGATCGGGCATGTTGAAACGAAATGGAGTTGACATGAAAGAACTAGAGCCTAAAGATTTAAGATGTGGAGGAATTGTACTTGAAGCGAATACCAGCACGCAAAATCGTCTTTCTAATTACACTAACGATTGTATTCTTCAAAGATGCCAGTTTAGATCAGGTATCCATAGTAATATTTTCTTTCGTTTTTTTATTTTCAGTAAAATTACTGCGTACAATAATTGTATTTTTTTCATTAAAGTTGATATGTGATAAAAATGCTAAAGATTGAGAGTATGTATTTATGAGTAGGCCCATTTAGATTAAAATAATTTGTTAAAATTGTTTTTCGCCTACCATATGTGAAAATAAATCATATCAACCCTAAAAATATGACCGAAAGTAACGTATATCGTCCCATAGGCTGCTAAACTCATAACAGCCCGATTTTGTAGTTTTTCACTAGATATCTAAATATCTTTGACTGTCACTTGCGTAGTTTGACGTTTCACATAAAGTATGATTAAACGTCAGGGTAAGTCTATTAGTGAACATGAATAGTCATTCAGTCAGTTACTAAGAATTTACATATACTCCACCAAACTTGCAAGAGGAAGCCAACAATGTTAATTAATAATAATTACTACAATAAATAAATTCGTACATTTTACTACTTAAGTTTCTTGTATTTGTAAAATTAAAGATTTTCGTTATATTTTCCTTTTCTTTGTTTTTTTGGTAGGGTAAAAACAATTGTGTGTCACACATGCAGAAAACGCTTAAACAGCCCTTAGCTATCAGCTGCCCTTGCTTCGCTTCGCTCGCTCATGCAGTTAATAGCCGTGGGCTGCTAAAGCTCATTTTCTGCCCTTGTGACACAATATACTATATAAATTTCATTATGAAGTGTCGAATATTATGCTTAAATTTATTCATAGATGAATTAAATCAGCGTTTCTCAACCTTTTAGTATTCGGGACTAATTTTTTAATAACATTTTTATGGCGCCCCCCTTCTTTCGTTTTCATATAATAATAAAATACGACGTATATTATGCGTTGAAAATTTTGACCCTATCCCTTTAGTTTTGTTAGTGTCCAAGGCCCTAGACTTTAGGCCAGAGCCCTAAAAAAGAAATTCAAAATTACCGAGAATAGGTGAATTTATTAAAACTACATCCCATATAGGTAACGCGAAAAGCCAGAATCGATGTTTCTCATTGGCTATCTTTCATTTACGATGGATATGAACATTCTCGTGGCTTATCGTCGCGACGAGTAGTTTCAACTGTGGTTTAGATTTGTTTGAAATAATATGGAAGATCTACTCGACAGCGGAGCAAGTGTGTTGAAATGCTGCGGCTGTTCCGGTCAGTTTTAGTCGAGTCGCGGTGCCAAATTTTGTAAGTTTTGTGTTACTGTGCCCTATTTCCGTATATAGTATATAACATTACGAGTGTGGACAGTGACATTTTTAACACGAGTGGGAAATATTGTCGCACGAGGCACAAGCCGAGTGCAACTATCACACAAAAGTGGAAAATCACTTTTCACATAAGTGATATACAATATTTTTCCTACGACCACAAAATAATTTTATCAAAAAATGTAAAACCAGGTTAATATTATAATAATTAAAATGTATTTAAAAAAATAATCAACAATAATCGTATTTATTCAATTTTTATATTTTCTAAACAAACAGAAAAAAACTAAAAAAAAAAAAAAAATAGAGACAAAAAAATCTACCCCCACAAGAATTTGAACGCGAACGCGGTCGCTCGCCAGGTCTCAAATGGCAAAGTTGATAAAATTTGATATTCTCCCACCTGAGCTAATAGGCCTTGCGTCAATTGAATGATCTAATCGGTTATGTGTTTAACCAAAATAAAAAGCAAACATAACTTAGTTATTTTAAAATTATTTTAATAATAATTGTTAAAGATAAATATCTAGGATCTAATTTACAACAATTTCAACAAGCTCAAGCTCTCTGTATACTACCAAAATGTTAGAGGACTCCGAACCAAATTAACTGAATTAAGTCTCAATACCTCAAATAGTTCTTATGACATTATCATTCTAACAGAAACTTGGCTTACTGCCGGCTTTAATGATGCTGAACTTGGCCTTGCTAACTATAATGTGTACAGACAAGATCGCACGGAGCAATCCAATAGATATGAAAGAGGGGGAGGTGTACTAATAGCTACGAAGAAAAAACTTTCTACCAGTCTTATTCAGTCTAACGCATCAGTTGAACAACTGTTTGTCCACATAAATAATAAATGTATCTTGGGTGCACTATATATCCCTCCGAAGTCACCTGTTGCTAATTATCAAACCCATTTTGATCAGATTACACAATTAAGCGAACAATATCCAAACTCCAAGTTCCATCTATTTGGTGATTATAATCTTCCGTCTGCAGTTTGGGAAGTGGAAGATTATTGTTCCTCAGCAACTGTACAGCACAACACATCATTTGCGGAAGCTGAAGCTACTGAAGTTGTCTTAAATATATGTGCCTTACATAACCTCTTTCAATCAAACGGGGTGCTCAACAGTAGGGGAGCAATTCTTGATCTAGTCCTTTCACCTGATGAACTCACAGTTTCCAATGCTGTAGACATTTTAATTCCACCTGACTCTTATCACCCCCCACTTGTAACTACTTTGCAGCTTTATGTTGATAAAAACATACCCTCTGGAACAGAATACTACTATGATTTTCGTAATGCAGATTTCTCAGCTATACGCCAGTGTCTGGACGCAACTGAGTGGGATGGCCTTCTTCATGGTAAAGAACTTTCCGATATGGTGTGCATATTCTACGATGTAATGTTTTCAGTGATAGAACAATTTGTTCCAGTGAAAAAAATCGGTAAAAGTTCATTCCCTTGTTGGTATTCTCCGCAGCTTAGACAGTTGTTACGCGATAAAAAGTTAGCCCATAAAACTTATAAATGTACTAAGTCTCCTGAACATTACAATTATTTCAGTCAACTCAGAGCTCAATGCAAAATGTTATCAAAAGAGTGTTATGCTAGTTATGTAAGCCGTACTGAGAATTCAGTTGTAAAAAATGTTAAAGCGTTCTGGAAATTTGTAAAAAATAAGAGAGAAAATAATTCTTTACCTGACTCGATGACATTAAACGATACAGTGGCTTCCTGCGGTAATGACATTGCCAATCTATTTGCTAGTCACTTTTCTTCTGTATACACGAACCAAACGCTAAATTTAAATGGAAGTGAAATCCAATCTGCAACATGTGTATCTTCTTATTTTATCCAAATTTCCAAGATCTATGTTAAGCTGTCAACTCTTGACACTAATAAAGGGTCAGGTCCCGATGGAATTCCACCCATTTTTCTCAAAACATTTAATTTTGCATTATCTAGGCCACTTTTTCATATCTTTAACAAATCACTGAGCACAGGTGAATTTCCTGACTTTTGGAAACTCTCTTATGTTACTTCCATTTACAAATCGGGTAACAAATCTAATGTAATAAATTATCGCCCCATTTCCATCCTAAGCACAATCCCAAAAATCTTTGAAAGTATAATAACTGATTTTCTAACTCACGACTGCTCCAATATCTTAAATTCCCAACAATTTGGTTTTTCGCCAGGCAAATCTGCTGAACTAAGCTTATTAACATATGCTAACTTTCTGTCTGAAGCTTTAGAGAAGGGTCTACAGGTATATTCTGTATATACAGACTTTTCCAAGGCCTTTGACAAGGTGAACCATGATCTTCTCGTTCATAAGCTAAATTTATATGGTATTGATGGGATTGTCTTACAATGGCTCGGTAGTTATCTAACAAATAGGACTCAACAGGTTCGAGTAAATCATCATTATTCCCAAATTTTCCCAGTTACTTCGGGTGTTCCTCAAGGGTCTCACTTAGGACCGCTACTATTCAACCTGTTTATTAATGACATCATAACTTGCTTTCCTAACACTAAAGCCCTATTGTTTGCAGATGACTTGAAATGCTTCAAGATCATTCATGACTATGCCGACACTCAGATTTTGCAGTTGGATTTAAATAAACTAGAAAGTTGGTGCTCTAGTAATGGCATGGATCTAAATACTAACAAATGTCACATTATCCGATTTTGTCGCAGCCATAATTTAATAACTTATAATTATAGTTTATTTCAACATGTTTTGGACCCTGTCGATCAAATCAAGGATCTAGGGATCACCTTTGACTCTTCCATGAGCTTTAATGGTCATATCTCTGCTACAGTTCAAAAATCAATGAAAATGCTGGGCTTTGTAAAGAGGACAACTCAAGACTTCACTAATATAAACACAATTAAAATGCTATACTTCTCTTTAGTTAGGACACAACTTGATTATTGCTCCTCAGTCTGGTTCCCACACTACTTAATTCATAAAAGTAAACTGGATGGGGTTCAAAATAATTTTCTTAGATACATAGCATTCAAGTTTAACATTTATTACAATTATGCGGAATTGCAACAATATTTAAACATACCTTCTCTGGAAGTTCGTAGGAAACGAAAAGATCTTACCATACTGTCCAATATTATCAATGGCAGGTGTAATTGCCCCGACCTCCTTTCCAGAATTATTCTTTTTGTGCCGTCACGTACTACTAGACAAATTCAAACATTCCATGTACCTTTTCACCGTTACAATTATGCGTTTAATACTTTTATTCCTAGAACACTTAGACTAGCTAACTCTCTTCATGATATTCGACTTTTTAACAGTTCTGTTTAAGGATTTAAGAACCACTTACTTACATTGAATATTTGAACGTCTCAAGCAATTCCATAAATTTCATTTAACACATTATAATTTATTTGCTGTTCTGTACATTAATGTCCACTGTTTTATCTATCCATTTTATTCTATATTTTACTTAATTTTTATGATATCACTATTCTATTTTATTGTATTTTTTATTTTATATTGTATTTTATTGTATGTAAACTGAATTGGGCTTTGCCCGTAAATAAATAAATAAATAAATAATTTAACAATCATATCGATTTTAGTATTAATATGGACATTACATAGATCAAAATTGAAATGACGCGTTTGAAATTTTGTGACAGCTGATGCGGAAAGTAGCATATCGCGGGCGACCTGGCAAAACATCTGATAACAACAACATTTATTTTGATTTTTTGGACAT